CGTCTGCCTCCATCACGCGACGGCTCGTGCCGGGCTGGGGGAAAAGGTGTCAGTACAAAAACCAGGCAAAGATGGTGCTTGGCTTCACCCAGGCCCTGTCCCCACCTCAGAGACCTGAAGGGAGCGAAGCCCCCAGGAGAGGAGCTCCCATCCTAGACCCCCCTTCCCCCCGCAATTTTTATCGCAGCTGCATCAACGCCTGGATGGACCAGGGCTGCTCGCCACCGGAGCGGGAGCGGGGCCGTCGGCGGCGTGGCTGGACCCCCGCCCGCCCCAGGTTGGCATCGGTGGGTTACCGCTCATGGGATGCCGAGATGCCGGGCGATTCCTACGGCTGGAGCAGGAGCCAGGCGCCGCACCGGGGGGGGGGTTTCTGAGCCGAAAACGCAACCTGAGGCCCAGGAGGTTTTGGGAGGCCGATTCCAGGTGGGCACCGGGCTGCTCCAAGGCTTCAGCGAGCAAAGCGCGGCCGTTTCCGTCTGAGTTCCTGCCAGGGAATCAGCACGTTGCCTTCAGTGCACGGCCTGGAGAAATCAACACAGCTCTTGGGGGCTGGAGGGGTCGCAGGGCTGGGCTGAAAGACAGGAGAGCACCAATAACCCCGGGGGAATCAAACGGGTGCAGGCAGGGGCGAGCAGGAGCCACGGGGCTAGGCTCTGCCGCAAACAGGGCCCCGGAAAAATCCCGAGTGCCAGCTCCGGCTTTGCTCACGCTGGCAGATTGCTGCAAAGCACTTTGAAGTGCAAATTAAGGTTTTCCATCAGGTTCGAACTTAATTTTGACGCAAAGAAAACAGCATGGCCTCAGCCCTGCGCGTGTGTGATGGAGGCAGGCGGCATGCCGGGGATGGGCAGCCCGGCAGGGAGAGCAGGAGGGGGGATGGGGTCCAATGCTGCACCGCCGCCCCGGCAAGGGGCTGCACGTGGGGGACAGGGCACAAAAGTTCACCGTGCATTAAAGAAAAGCCTCGCAGCCGCCCCGGGAGCTGTTGCAGGTTTGGCTGCAGAGAGGAGGAAGGCAGAGGGAGACTTTAGAGGCAGGAGGAACGATCCAAG